TTTATCTATAAGCCAACTTGAGTTACAGGTAAACATCTTTTTTTTTTAAATTAATTTATTTTTTTACAGGTAAACATCTTAAAAAATCCAAAATGTTAAAAGAAGAAAGCTCAAACATAACAGCTGTACATGTTGTAACGAACAGACAGACGCACACACGCATAAGACAACTTGTTTATAAACCAGAGTGCACTCAGATGTATTTGGCCAAGTTTAATTATAGTAATTTTATAATTTCTAGGTTTATAATTATAAAAAAGACTAGTCAGAGCATTGTAGATCAATTAACAGAGATCTCTTGTAATAAGAATCAAAAGGAATAAAAATCTACACCTGTGAAAGCAAAAACAGTTTTAGGATGGGCCCTAAGCTGATGGTTTATCTGACTGTAATACCCAGCCATACAGGATTCTCACTGTTACTTTGAAAACCATAGTTGTTTGATAGCCACATGTAATTGTTCCCTCTAAAGGGACAGACCGTTAAAGGTAATTTTAACTGTTTCCAGTGGGGTTCCGCTCAGGCCAGGTTTGCATGTAGAAGAGACTAGGTGACACTCTTTGGAGCCAAGTATGAATTCCAAGCAGTCAGGGAAGAAGGCCTGCCAAGGCTCCAACCTGCTGTGTTGCAGATGTCTTACCTATGACAGTTTTTTCCATTTTGAAAAGAAACAAAGGAAAGAAGGCATCCCTGTCTATCCCTCTTGTTCTGTGCCCAATCTAAGGTGTCCCTTAGACTTTATCTGGTCCAGTGCCAGTGGCAGCTGACTAGCTTTGCAAGGAAGCGGCCAGAGCCAGGTTAGCCGTTCTTGCTATTCTCTAATTTTGCCTGAGGGCTGAAAGACAGATAAGTCTGGACTAAAACTTTTACATTTATTTTTTGAGAGTTTGAAGATTAAACCTAGACCAGTTTTCTGTATGGTCCAGAGATAAATGAAGATCAGTTTTACTCTGGAAAGGTTCCAGGGAGAGGAAACTCACCATTTTGGAAACTTTGGGACATCTTTAATATATGAGATCTAGGTCTAGTTCTGGGTATAAAGTAGAATCTGTAAACAATATAGTGATTATCCTACTAATCAAGTGTACTAATCTTCAAAAGAATGCAGTATGAAGCCTATATCTGTGAGTCCACGGGAGGCACGCATGACCAGACAGTTGCCATCTCCTTTAATTAATCTAATCTGGGCAAGATGTAGCCTTGCTTTCATAAAAAATGTAATTTTTCTACTTTAAAAAAAAAATCATACTCTAATCGAGTCAATGAGTGTTTCTCTTTTGTCCTTTTCTTTGCCCTTTTTATTGTTGTTATTTTGTGTTACTTTTATAGTTCTGGAGATTGAACCCAGGGCCTTGTGTGTGCAAAACACATGCTCTACCACTGAGCTACATCTCCAGCCTCAGCAAGTTTCTTAAATAGAATGCTCATGTCCAGTTATTTCTAGTAAATGTGAAAACAGTGCCATCTATTGGAAGAGCATGTAACATGGTTATTATCCTTTTGATGGTACTAGGGATTGAACTCAGGGCCTCATCCATGCTGGGCAAGCACTGACCCATATCCTTAACCTTTTTAAAATTTTATTTTGAGATAGATCTCATTAAGTTGCCCAGGCTGGCCTCAAACTTGTGATCCTCCTGCCTTAGCCTCCTGAGTAGCTGGAATTATAGAGGTACACCTGGCTGGTTTATTATATTCATTGAATAATGAAGTTTACTGGCTGTGCCCTTAATAAAATTTGTCAGGAAGCTACATTGAAAGAAAAACTATATATGGATTTAAAAATTTAAAGTTTTAACTGAGCATGGTGGTGCATGCCTGTAATCCCAGCACTCGGGAACCTGAGGCAAGAGGATTGCCAAGATTCAAGGCCAGCCTGAACTATATAGTGATACCCTGTGTCAAAAAAAACCAAAACGAACAAAATAAAAACTTCTAACTTTTTTTTTTTTTTTTTTGGTACCAGGGATTGAACTCTGGACCTTGCGCTTGCAAGGCAGGTGCTAGAACCACTGAGCTAAACCCCCGGCATATAAGAATATTTTTATGTGGAGGGCTGGGGATTTAGCTCAGTGGTTCCACCGCCTGCCTCGAAAGCTTCAAGGACCCAAGTTCGATCCCCAGTACTAAAAAAAAGAGAATATTTTTATGTGGAGAAATTACTACAGTAATGCCTCATTTACTTTGCATTGTTGGTGAATGAGGTGATAAAGTAACTGGAACTTTTAAGCACCAACGAAGTTTTATTTTATTTTATTTTAATTAATTAATTAATTTTTTGTTGCCAAGAATTGAACCCAAGGCCTCAGGCATGCTAAGCATATGCTCTACTATGAGCTGTACCTCCAGCCTCAACTATTTTTAATGGAAATCTTTCTAAAATGTATTATACATGTTATTATTCCCAGAAATCTTATAAATGGTGGTTCTTTTGTTTTCTCTTCCCTTTCTTTGTTCTGCAGTTTTGATGTTGGTTGTCTCTTTCCTCTAGCTTTTCACCCTTGACTGGTTTGCTTTCATGTGTAACATCAACAATTTTCAATTTCTTTTTTCTCTTTTCGCCTCTTCTCCCTTCTTCTCCCCCTCCCCTCCCCTCTCCTCTCCCCTCCTCCTTTCCTTCCTTCCTTCCCTCCCTCCCTCTCTTCCTTCCCTTTTTATTTTGAAACAGGGACTCGCTGAGTTGCCAGTACTGACCTCAAACTTGTGATCCTTCTGCCTCAACTTACTAAACTGGAATTACATGCATGCGCCACGATTCCCAGTTTAACAGTTTTCAATTTCTAGTAATTTGCAAATAGCATTTTTGTGTGAGATATATATAATATGAGTAAGACGATAATCTTTGGATCTTACTAATGAAATCTGATCTAAAATCTGCCTTTTTTGGTGGGGGGGGGGTACTAGGGATCAAACTCGGGTCCTTGCTCCTGTACAGCAGGTGGCAAAACCACTGAGCTAAATCCCCAGCCTAAAATCTGTCTTTTAAGAAGGCTTACAATATGAAATGTTTATTATGCCTTCTGTCTGAATCCAGCCATTTAGACGTTTTTTTCCTTTGACTGTATCCTTATTTCTATGTGCAGCATTACCTAGTTTGTCTTCTGTATGTATGGCATACTATATATACATGTTTTTTCATTTAAAAATGGGAGTAGAACAATACATATTTTAGGAGAAAGGATTGGTAAGAGATGTCTTAAATTATCCGATAGTATCTTTTAAATTGATTGGAATTAGAGCCATTTTTGTTGTTGTTGTTTGTTTTTTTGGTGCGGGGGATCAAACTTGGGTCCTTGCGCTTTCGGCGGAACCACTGAGCTAAATCCCCAGCCCTAGAGCCATTTTGTTAAAGTGGAACACAGTCCCCTGACCAATTAATCCATTTTCTTCCCAAACATCTCCATGGGGCCTGTAGAAGACACTGTGGGGTACATAATACACATAGAGAGATCAGTATCTGCCTGCCTGTCTTATCCCTGTCTCCTTTCTGCCTGGGAGCTAATGAGTGTCACCTGGAGGCTACTGAGAGCAATAGCCTAAGTAGAATGGCTCAGAACATTTGTCACTGGATGCTTTCTCTGTTCATTATCTTTGATGCTGTGTATTCTTTCCTTATTTCTTACAAAGCATCACTTTATGTATAGCTAGTGTTTTTTATATTTTAAACTATAAATAGAAATAAATCCAAGGAGGGTTGAACTTGAATCTTAGAGCAAATTTAATTAATCTTTGTCATCCTCAAAGTTAACTTGATGGGTATATTTTACCCAGTTTTACACGAGTATTTTTAATATTAAATTGATACTCATTGGATTGCTTAGTTCTGAACTCAACCATGTATTTGTGGGACAAATCTAGAGTCATCTTTTCTTTAATGACATTTTCACAATTGTATACTTGTAACATCTTTAGATAAACCTTTATTCTTGTTCTTTCATCAACATTTCGAGGTAGTTTTTTATCGTAGAGATAATAAGTCAAAGATGGTAAATTAAACTATTAAATGATTTTATGTAAGTTATTCAGTCTTAATTTGGAATTTATAGATGGCCCTAGGTAGTCTGTAGTACCTTAAGACCCCAAGTGTTAAGGTGAGGGAAGGGATTCACAGAGAATCCCTTGTTGTCCTCCTGTGGTAAGGAAACAGGAGAGAGAAAAAGAGAGAGTGAGAGAGAGTGAGAAGTTGTGCTGGGCAGAATCTTGGAAGTCCTTTTTGAGATGACTAGAAGATCCCTTTGAAGGATAAAAGACACCTCTACCCCCAGTACTAGGGATTGAACCCAGGGAGTGCTCAGCCCATTTTATTTTGAGACAGGATCTCATTAATTTGTCCCACCTGGCCTCAAACTTGTGCTTCTTTCCCTCAACCTCCTGATTAACTGGGATTGCAGGCATGAGTCACCACATCCAGCCTGGAATACTTGTATTCTTTTTTTTTTTGGTACCAGGAATCGAACTTGGGATCTGGCGCTTGCATTGCAGGCGTCGGCACCACTGAGCTAAATCCCCAGCCCAAGTGTTTTTGTTGTTGTTTTGGTTTTGTACCAGGGATCTTACTCTGGACTTGCGCTTTCGAGGCAGGCAGCAGAACCACCGAGCCAAATCCCCAGCCCTGGAATCCTTGTGTTCTTAAACAGTGAAGGGGTATTGAGGTGAAGAGGCAGGACAGATGATCACCAATAATCAAAAATTGGACAAAGACAGCCGGGGATTTAGCTCAGTGGTGCCACCACCTGCCTCGAAAGTGCAGGTCCCAAGTTCGATCCCCAGTGCCAGAAAAACAAACAAACAAATTGGACAAAGAACCTTTTGAATTGGAGTCTGTACCTCCATGATCTCACCGATGAATTTCCACTTACAAGTGTCCCAGGAAATTCCATTAGAAACACCCAGTTTTTCTTCTTTATTTGTATGTATCAGATACTGCCTTTTGAGGAAAGCCAGAATGGCTTGTCCTAGCTGTTGTCATATATTACTGTGTCTTGTTATTTCTTTTCAAGGAGATGTCTTCGCTTCTACTTTCCTTATTAAGAATGGGGCCCTTGTCAATGCTGCTACATTAGGGGCTCAGGAGACACCATTACACCTTGTGGCATTGTACACTTCAAAGAAACACTCAGCAGAGACGATGTCTGAGATGGCACAGATTGCAGAGGCCCTTCTGCAAGCTGGTGCCAACCCCAACATGCAGGACAGCAAGGGCAGGTAAGTTGGGGAGCTGAGAGACTGTATGCCTTCACCTCTAAGCTGAGAAGGGTATTTATGGTGATACATACTTGGCATACAGGATATTTGCATTATTCATTTTGATGTTTATTGAAGTCACAGACATTTATGTGCCAAGCAAGTAAGTGTCATGGTTAAAATGTTTCTATCCTGGCAAACTGAAGTCTTTGAATTTCTAAGTAATCTATCTTCATGATGGATGGAACCAGAGTGATCATCTAGTCAATCTTCTTCAGCATTTCTGTGAGGTCTATTTGTGAAAAAATTCCCTATCTTAAACCCACTTATACCCTGTAGATACCTCCACTTGAGACAACTCTTTATCTGGACAGCTTGCTACCTTCTTCTGTTGCATAGCCCTTCACATATTCAATAGTACATATGTTCCTTTTGCCCCCTCCTAGGGTTTAGTTAGGGTTCCATGTGGTCTAGAATGTCAGAAAGGGCTGCCTGTCTTCAGGGAGGTCCTAAAGGCCACTTGAGCCACCTGCATCACCAGCCACACGTGGGACCCACTTAGCATCATAGCTACTCAGTTCTTCATATCTTTAGAAACTCTCTCAGAAAGAAAAACAGGCCGGCCATGGTGGTACACGCCTGTAACCCCAGCGCTCCAGAAGGTGAGGCAGGAGCTCTAGGAAGCTCTAGGCCAGCCTGGGCTACATAACAAGACCTGTCTCAAAAACAAAAACAATTTCTGTTGTTTGGTTGTTGGAATAGAAAAATGAATTTGTATGATAAAGTACTGAAATAAGATGGATATTCATGAATCCCAGTATCATGTAATAATTACCTTATTCCCAAAAATAATTACATCTTTATTCCCTTGGTAGATTCTTTGATTTTTTTTTTTTTTTCCTTCTACTGCAATAAATTCTGGCAGTCTGATCATGAGGTAGATGCAGCCTTGCCTCTGTGCTCTGCAGTGGCAATCTTCTTTAGAGCACTTGAGCTAAATAAAAGTGGTGAGGAGGGTTAACTGCTCCTTTAGTCATTCTCACCCATTGCTCCTTTGTTTTTGAGTATAATAGAAAATTTTGGGGAAGGAAGAAAAAATTTCTTTTCAGAATTGGTGTAGGGTAGGTAAAGGAAAATATGTATACCTATGATACAAAGTACTGTTTAAAAATAGCCTATGCACATTTAGTAAGGATGAATTGGAGAGTACTTTATACTTCTTTTTTTTTCTTGGTCCTGGGGATCAAACTCGGGTCCTTGCGCTTGTGCAGCAGGTGGCGAAACCACTGAGCTAAATCCTTGGCCCCTATACTTCTTTCTTTTGTTGATTCTGGTCCTTTTTGGCAATTAAACAAATGGCAACATATAAGCACATCTGATGTCTTAGTCACTTTCCTGGTAACTGGGACAAAATATGCAGTATCCATAACTGAAAGGAGGCGAGGTTTATTTTGACTCATGTTTCAGTCCATAGTCAGCTGGGTACAGGGCAGGATGGCAGGCAGAGTGGAGAAGAGCTGCTCATGGCTTGTTCATGGCCAGAAAGCAAAAAGTGAAGGGAGGAGCTAAAAAGGGAAGCACACCCTTTCAGGCCATGCCCCGGTGACTGGCCTCTTCTGACGAGACCCGACCTCCTAACTACAAGTCAGCTGTAAACCCCCATTATCCAGTCACCTTCCAAAAGCCCTGCCTCTCAGCCCATGAGGCTTTGAGGGGGCATCTAGATATATACCACACTATCTATTCTCCTGTTTTGATTCTTAGTCATTATTTTAGAGAACTGTTGTGGAAATGTGGAGTTTCTTGTGGGTGGTGATTGTACCCAGGATTCTTGTCAACTCCTGCTGTGAGTAGTCCTGAATTGATGCCTCTTTCTTTTTATCCTGCAGGACCCCTTTACACTTGTCCATCATGGCCAGGAACGAATATGTGTTTAATCAGCTGCTGCAGTGTAAACAGTACGTAGGGCGACATGGAGAAATGAAAAAGCAGTTGTAAGGGTGGGATTGTGAGTGAACAATTCTTTTAAAACATCTTTTTGTGTCATAAATCTTTTTTTTTTTTTTTGGTACCGGGGATCGAACTCGGGACCTTGCGCTTGTGAGGCAGGCCACAAAACCACTGAGCTAAATCCCCGGCCCATGTGTTATAAATCTTAATAATAGTGAAATAAAAATTCAGAAAGTTAGAAAACGTGAGGTTATTAGCAGTACAGTGTCAGAAGATTTTATTTGCTATTCATGTTGTTCCCTTATTTCAGATTAGATTTAGAACTGAAAGACCATGAGGGCAGCACAGCTCTGTGGCTTGCTGTACAGTATATCACAGTGACTTCAGACCAGTCGGTAAACCCATTTGAAGACCTCCTTGTGATAAATGGGACTTCATTTGATGAAAACAGCTTTGCAGCCAGACTCATTCAATGTGGCAGCAACACTGATGCACCTGATACAGTGACAGGTAAAACACAGTAGATCCCTGAGAGATGATGCTGAGCCTAGCAAGGGAGGTGTCTGTGAAGTATTGTATAAATGTTTTTTGGTTTTTTGAGATAGTCACTTTGTAGTATAGGCGGCCCCAAACTGACAGTGTAGCCCAGGCTGATCTCCAACTTGGCAGCAATCTTCCTGCCTCAGCCTCCCCAGTTACCGGGATTAAAGCCATGTGCCACTACACCCTGCTCAACAGAAATTTAGCAAGTGAATAGCCTAAGAATTTGTTTACTCATTTGTTTAGTGGTACTGAGGATTGAACCCAGGGCCTTGCCCTTGCTGGGCAAGCACTCTACCACTGAGCTATGTCCCCAGCCCAAGAATTATTTTGTACTTAATCTTCAGTACGGTAAAAACTCAGGTTCTGATTTTTTTAATCCTGTGCTTCAAACAATTTAGCCAGACACGTATTTTAAGCTGAAATACTTATTTACTTAATGAGGTGCTTTTGGGAACTTTTTAGATTCAGAACTCCCTTTTCCCTCTTAAAAATTATAGCCCAAGGTGGGCATGATGGCATACTCTTATAATCCCAGTACTCTGGAAGGCAGGAGGATTGCAAGTTGAAGCACAGTCTGGGCAATTAGAGACTTAGCAAGACCCTGTGTCAAAAGAGAAGATAATAAGGCTGGGGGCCTAGTTCAGTGTAAAGGCCCTGGAGATCAGTCCCCAGTAACCAAAAGAGGAAAAAAAATCTTAAGCTGGGTGGGGTCAGTGGCACATGCCTGTAATTGTAGCACTTGGGAGGCTGAGGCAGGTGAGTTTGAAACCAGCCTGGACTACATAGTGAGACCCTGTTTCAAAAATAAACCAAGCAACAAATAAATAAGTAAATAAAACCCATGGCTCACTTTGTGCTTTATATGGATCTCTTCTTCATGCATGATTTTAAAACATACCTTAGTTATTTGGAAAATACTGGTTCATGGAGTTACGCAGATCTTCCAAATGTTTACACATTGTAGAATTATATTTATAGCACCACTGATCTCATCAAAAGAATCTTTCTGCATTGAGAAGGTATCAAACTGAGGTTTGCAGAGAAGTTTGCCAAAATTGTCATTTTCATTTGAATGCTCACATTTTATCATTGAGTACAAAAACTTAATTGTTTTTCTTACATGACAGGCTCCTTTTGTTCATTTTCAAGAAAATGTCTTCCAAATCTTTATGTTTGAATAATAATGTATTAATTAGTCATTCTTTTGATTGAAAATACTGTTCTATGAGAAAAGCTGCTAACTCAGCTTACATTTAATTCCACAAGTGCTTTTTCTCCAACAACATTGTACTTTGGTACAGTGTGTAGCAAAATCTTTATGCATACTTCTTACTTTACCACACAGAATTTTTCACATGTGCTCAGTGTTGAGATTTAATTAGTAATTTTTACTGATTTTTCAAAGACCATCATAAGTAAAACTGACTCTTTTACCCCCTAATCTATTAGTACTAGTACACTTTGGTACTATTCTGCTATCACATTTTTTTGTTTTGGTACTGGGGATCGAACTCGGGACCTTGTGCTTGCGAGGCAGGCGCCGGAACCACTGAGCTAAATCCCTGGCCCCACTTTGGTACTGTTCTGTTCATTTGTGTCAAGGCTCTACAGTTTTGACTCACTGTTGCTTTTGCATTATCAGTAGACATGCCTGCCAGGCCGGGAATTTAGCTTAGTGGTGCCTTGCCTACCTTACAAATGCAAGGTCCTGAGTTCAATCCCTGGTACTGGGGGGAAAAAAAAGACATGCCAACACAGTGGGCAAGTAGTAATATTATGAAAATAGTTTTGATCTCATGGACCCCCTGAAAGATTCTCAGGAATCCACAGGCTATACATAGAAACCCTGAGAACCACTGTTTTAATGTATTTCTTTGATCTGGCTAAACAGGGATATTTTAAGAATAGTGAGTTCTACCAAAAAAAAAAAAAAAAAAGAATAGTGAGTTCCATATATTTCATCATTTAGTATTATTGGCAATGTATAAAGCATGAGTAGGTGTCACTAACAAAGATTTGACCCCCATCCACCCAAAAGAAGATGGATATTGATCTCTTTGCTGAAGAAGTTGATAATTAACTTTAAATAAAGATTTGGGGGGTGGAGGGTTCAAATAAAGGTTAAGGTAGTGGCCAGTCAGAAACCCAGTGGTTCAGTCTCCAGTAGCACCAAAAAAATAAAGGTTCTGAAGTTACCACTCTAAATGACCTAAAAGCTAAGGGCAGTAGTACTATAGAACAGGGGCTATAGGAAGAACTAACTGTAAGTGTTTCATACTGATGAGCTCCAAAAATGCAATTATTAACTAAGCTTTAGTCTACAGATATATATTGATTATTAGCCATAATTTTACTGATTTCTAATTTAATCATACATAAGATTATGACATGTAAGATTGATATTTTTGATATTTAAGACTTAAACTCATGGCCTTATGCATGCTAGACAAGAACTCCACCACTGAGTTGTATCTCCAACTCCTGACCTATCTTATCAATTTCATAAAAGTATATTAAGTTTTTCCATCCTAATTCTGTCAGTTTCATATTACCTTAAGTTTTGGGGTGGGTTTTTGTTTGTTTGTTTTTGTTTTTCTCCCTTCGTAGTTCATGCTGGGCTGGGGATTTACCTCAGTGGTTCCGCCGCCTGCCTTGCAAGCACAAGGTCCCGAGTTCAATCCCTGGTACAAAAAAAAAAAAAAGAAAGAAAGAAAAGAAAACACATGTCGTTCATGCTGGCCCTGAACTCACTGTATTTCAGGCTGGCCTCGAACTCATGGTGATCCTCCTGTCTCAGGCTCCCGAGTGCTGGGATTATAGACATGCGCCATCATGCTGGACTGTTACCTTAAATTTTAACTGTCAAATACATATAGACCCAGAATTACCTTTTCCTGTTGATTTGTGCCATCTCTCATTTTACCTGTAATTTCCTCAGTCCATTGGTTTCCAACTGTTCGGTAATGTTTTAGCAGTCACAAATTCCTGTTTTTCTGTAATTTAAGACTTACGTGCACAGAACGACTACAGAAGTGAAAATGGGGCTCTTGGGAATCTTATCAACTTGAGGTAGAATCACTCTCTCAGGGGGAAAATTAAACATGGCATGAAGGCAGTAGTCCTTTGTCCCATTTCTTTCACTTATTTTTAGTCCTGGTATTTAACTTATTTTGATCTCCAAATAGTATAGCTATAGAACATGAAATTTTATGTTTACTTTTGGAAGTGGATTTTAAAGGACTGAGAAACACTATTCTAGGTCTAAAACTATTTCTAGGGAAAATTTGTTTTCTTTTTCTAAGATTTTTATTTATAAAAAGGTGAAAATGCTAAGCAAAATATTTCTAAGCTAAGAGCAAGCATGTTTAAGACCCTAGAAATAAAACCAGAGTATTTAAGGGTCATTTTATGGTAGAACTTCTCAGCATATATTTTTAGAGTAGTAATCTAGCTCAGCGGTTCTCAGCCAGGGACAATTCTCGTCTCCAGTCCTACCTTGCTCCAAGCATGTGGCAACATCTGTAGATGTTTTTATTTGCCACAGTTCAGCAGTCCTGCTGGCATCGAATGGGTAGAATCCAGGGATTTTTCTAAACATTGTATAGTGTACAAGACAGGCCCCCACCACAAAGAATTATCCCACCTAAAATGTCAGTAACACCACTGTTGAGAAACCTTGCTCTAATCAAACCTCAGCAACAAGACATAACTGTGGTCCTAGGCGGTGGTCAGTTGGAGACTAGGGAAGAGTAAATATTCCAGCTTATGATCCTCCCTAGTGTCAGTGTCCACATATAGGTGCCTGTTGGGACCTATGAGATAGCTACTCTGGTGTGGCTTCCCTGTGGTAAGGTGATGGGGAAGGGCAGGGTGTTGTGCTGTGTGGAACTTGGCCTCATGTTTATTTCGATAGAAGAATGAATATCCACGTTTTCTTCTAGGAAATTGTTTACTACAGCGGGCAGCTGGAGCAGGAAATGAGGCAGCAGCTCTTTTCCTGGCAACCAATGGTGCCCACGTCAACCACAAAAACAAGTGGGTAAGTGTAACAAGGCAGTTCTGGGAAATGCATTTGTTGTATAGTAGAAATGGCAGTGGTGGATATGTAGGAAAAATGGAATCGATTCTTTTTTTTACAATTTCTGTGAACATGATGCATACATATGTTTAAAAACTAGAGTTAAGCCAGGAATGGTGGCATACGCCAGTAATCCCAGCACTAGAGAGGCCGAGGCAGAAGGATCACAGCAAGTTCAAAACCAGCCTGAACTGCATAGCAAGACCCTGCCTCGAAAAAAAAAATTAGAGTAAAATAGATTCTATACATTCTTTTATGTATTTTCAAATATAATTGATTCAGCAACCGTTTCAGAAGTAATAGTTGTATATAACAAGCCCTGAACTAGAGACTCTGGCCTTTATAATCGAATAGAAATTGGTAGACATACACAGAAACCTACCATAATAGCATCTTGGTCTTTGGTGTTCCTATGTGGTTGCTCATTCAGTCCATATCCCAAGCTAACAAGGTAGATTGTGCAGTAAGGATGTCCCCCCTTATCTGTGATTTCACTTTCAACAGTTGGAATTATTCATAGAAAATTATGGTCTGGAAATATTAAATGGAAAATTCCAGAAATAATTCATAAGTTTTAAATTACTTACCATTCTGAGTAGCATGATGAAATCTCATGCTGTCCTACCCAGGATGTGAATTCCTTTGTTCAGCATATCCATGCTGTGTACACTACCTGCCAGTTGGTCACTTAGTAGTTGTTTCATTTATCAGCTGTCACAGTATCATAGTACCCATGTTCAACTGACTTTCATGGGATAACCTAATGCAATACAAAATGCCTGTATCATTCATCTCACTTCATCTCTTCACATAGGCATTGTACCATTTTACATAATCCCAAGAAACACGAGAACAGAACAAAAGATATTTTGAGAGGCTGTATTCATATAACTTTATATAGTATATTGTTATAATTGTTCTTTTTTATTGTTATTATTTAATCCCCTCTGTGCCTAACTTATAAATTCAACTTTGTCATACGTATGTGCATGTAGGAAAAAGCATGGTATATATAGGGTTTGGTGCATCATTTCAGTCATCCTTGGGGATAAAGAAGTTGTCTTAGAACATATTAAGATCACATTTATTTTATAACTAGTTTGTATTAGGAAGTTTAATTCTAGAAGCAACATGTATTGTTGTGTCATTAGGATTAGGATTGAAGAGATATTTCTCACATTTATAATCCCTTAATTCAGGATAAAGGGTCAGAGGGGTTAAGAGGCTCATAAATAATGAAGCCAGTATTGAGACCCAGATGCTAGGATATATACTTGCATACTCTCTCAGCAGCATTGGGCAAGGCAGTGGATAATACACTTGGTATCTAAGACATACCACATATCTTGAAAACACAAGGGAAAAGTCTTTGCTGTCCTTTCCTTCATTAAATATGCTAGTCTGTCTGCACACATGGCCTAGAATCACGCTGGAATCATAGAATATCCCTATACGCATTAGAGGTTGTGTTAGTTTGGTTTGTTTGTTTGTTTTTCCAGAGGTGGAACCCAGGACCCTAGGCAGGCTCTCTTACTACTGAGCTACAACCAATCTTCTTTTTTTCTTTCTTTTTCAGTACTAGGAATTGAATCCAGCACCTTGGACTGAGCTACATTCTTACACCCTTTTGTTTTATTATGAGACAGGGTCTTGGTGAATTGCCTGCTCTGGTCTTTACCTTAAGTTCCCCCAACCTCAGCCTCCTGAGTAGCTAGAATTAAAGGCGTGTACCGTGGTGCCTGGGCTCCCCCCGCCCCCCCTTTTTGGACTCTGCCTTTTACCCCTTCTCACTTTTTCACTGACTTTGTTCCTCTTATTGTGTGTCTGTCTGTATCTTTCTTGCATCATTAATTTCATTCACTCTTCATTTCTAATAGTATAGAGATATGTTCTATCTCCTAACTTTAAAAAAGTCTTCCAGGAGTCCACATTTGTATATGCCTTCTAGTTTGTTTGTTTTTTGGTACCGGGGATTAAAGTCAGGACCTTGCGCTTGCAAAGTAGGCGGCAGCACCACTGAGCTAAATCCCCAGCCCCGTATTCACTGTTTTTTTTTTTGGTACTGGGGCTCTGTATATGCCTTCTTGATCCTTCTCTGATACCCTTCATAGCAAAACTAGATGAAACCTAAGATATAGAGGCATGGGCCGGGGATTTAGCTCAGTGGTTTTGGCGCCTGCTGTTCAAGCATAAGGACCTGAGTTCGATCCCTGGTACCAAAAAAAAAAGATATAGAGGCACTAGGAACAGCTGACATGGAAACAAGTGAGAGCCACACAGAAGAAAGGTCTAGAATGCTGGTTTAAGATGTTTGGGCTTCATCCTGTGGGAAAACATCCCATAGAAGAGCTGTCTGATCATTTTAGAAGCGTGAGAGAGCTGTCTGGGGAGGCTGGCATGATGAGTGTGCCATTGAGTCCAGATTGGAGCCACATGGGAATCGTCTAGACAAGCAATGACCTGTCTTGACCTCTCTTGTTGGATTTAGAACCAAATCAACAGATTTTGAGGAATTACAGAATTACATTCAATGGACATGTCAGCTTACAGTTTGTAGGAACAAGGGCAAGAGAGGTATTAAAACTGTTTTGGCAGGGCCTGGCCAAGAGGAAGAACTGGGGTGGAGGAAGTAAATCCCATTGCAATTGTTGAATTCTTCCTAAACATTCAGTGAGGATGTCTAGCTGACAGATCTAGATTTGTAGATACTGGTAGAAGCCATGGGAGACTGTAAGCACACCCAGTGAGAATATGTAGGAACCAAGAAGGGCTGGGCAGGGAAAAGAATAGTAGGATGTTGCTCTTTTTTCACAAAACATCTTACAGAGTTATTGATTGTTTCCATGATGATAATTTATAAGAGAAAGATCCAGAGCAGTATGTTCAATTTGTTTCCATTTGTTTAAATGAAAAAAAAAATCTATCGTATGTATGGTTGCATACATGCATAAACATGGAGACATGTATACATGCATACATTTGTGTGTGTGTTTTCCTGCAAATATTCTGTTAGTGGAGGGAAATGTGAAATTGGTAATCCTGGCCAGGCATGGTGGTGCATACCTGTGATCCTAGCACTCGAGAGGGAGAGGCTGTGGCAAGAGAATTTCCATGAGTTTAGGACAGCTTGGACTACATAGTGAGCTCAAGACCAGTCTGAACTATGTAGGGAGACCCTGTCTCAAAAAAAAGAAAAGAAAAGAAAAATTGGTAACCCTGGTTCCTTTAAGGTGCCATTATTTTTTGTTTTGTTTTGTTTTTGTTTTTGGTACTATGGATCAAACTCAGGACCTTGTGCTTGCAAGTCAGGCTTGGTACCACTGAGCTAAATCCCCAGCCCTAAGGCACCATTATTATTAGGTGCTGGGTGCCAGACATAACAGACTTGCTTCCACTGTATATTCTTCTGCCTTTTAAATACTGATTCAGGAAACTATAATACCAATTAAAATGTTTTTTAAGTTTTAGAAGTGGGGAAAAGTGGTCCTTATTGAAGTTCAAAATGTGATTGATACGAGCAGGTAAAAGAAATGGGGTGCAGTGCTTGGTAACCATTCTGAGTCTGCAGTGCAGTCTGGTGCAGCCTTGACAGCTGGTCAAGTAAAGCTTTAAAAGGTTCAAGTCCTGCGCCCGCTCATGATCATCATTAACCCCCTCACTTGAATACATATAAGATGAAACATCAGTCTGCCTGTAAATTTAAGCAAGCTGTGTTAGATGGTTGGGAACACAGAATACCACTGTACACTTATATAAGTATCATGTACTCTGTAGCATGAATAAATGTATCTGGAGATGCACTACTGAAAGAAAGAAAGGGGGGAGGGAGGAAGGAGGGAAGAGGGAAGGGAAAGCTGGGTGTGGTGATGCATACCTGTAATCGCAGCACTCAGGAGGCTGAGGCAGGAGGACTGCCACAAGGTCAAGGCCAACCTGGGCCACATAGCAAGACTCCATCTCAAAAAAGTATTAAAAAAAAAAGAGGGAGGGAGGATGCTAGTGGAGAATCACAGAAGTGGTCAAACTATTATTAACACTACTTACCTCTGAGGCTGTGACTGAAGCTCTTCTGTTTTCTACAGTGGTAGTTGTCATTTTATAATAATCAGCATATATGATTTTTATAATTAGAAAAAAGTAATTATGAAAGCAAAGTGAGAGATGGTTAAGGAAATTATAGGAGATGGAGAGGATAAGAAACCAGGGCATTTTGGAGAAGGTACTTGGAAAGACACTGAAAAACTAAGGGTAAAGTCACATATAAAAGGTAATCAAAGTTATGGAAGTGATCTGGATGTGGTGGTGCACAACTATAATGCCAGCACTCTGGGAGGCTGAGGCAGGAGGATCACAAGTTGAGCCCATCCTGGACTACTTAAGCAACATCATAAAACCCTGTCTCAAAATTTTAAAAATGAAAAATGGCCAGGGATGTAATTCCATGCAAAGGTCCTGGGTTTAATCCCCAATACACCACACACACACACACACACACACACACCCACACACCCAATACACCACACGCACGCACCATGGAAATAGTGACAGGATGAGCCAATGGCTGACTGGCATGAGCCACATCATAGCTGGTGACAGGATGAGCCAAGTACTATGGCTGGCACTGGGGACCTGACTTTTGACGCGTATGCTGTCTTTATCCCTTTGTGAAGGGAACTTCTAGCGTGTAGATGCTCAAATTTGGGCCATCTGTTTGCATTCAGGGAGAGACGTCATTGCACACAGCTTGTCAGCATGGCCTGGCCAATCTCACGGCCGAGCTCCTGCAGCAAGGTGCCAACCCAAACTTGCAGACAGAAGAGGCTGTGTCTTTGTCAAAGGCAGCTGTGTCCCTGACCGGCTCCATGGACAGTGTCTATCTGCAGACGCCACTGCACATGGCAATTGCCTACAATCATCCAGATGTGGTGTCCGTCATTCTTGAGCAGAAAGGTAAGGAATGGTGAATTTTGCCCATCAATTTGATTTGTGGGTGGTAGCTTAGGGTACTTAATTACTGCGGTGCTGTGTCCTCTGTTGGTGAGTTTCTCACCAAAAGCATTCTTTCAGTTCAAACTAGATAAACAGATGGTTCTTGACTGCCATGTTTTCCTATGTATGCATAGAGGATGGGGCCGGCTCATTTCACCTGTCAGGTTAAGGTGTGAGAACCTGTGACTCTGCTCTTTTTTTTTTTTTTTTGGAAGAAATTCTGAGCTTTTTATTTGACACCAAAGTCACTATTACTTTGATACCAAAACCATGCAAAGAGGGGCCAGGGATTTAGCTCAGTGGTTCCACCGCCTGTCCTGAGAGCAAAAGGACCCAAGTTCAATCCCTGGTACCAAAAACAACCCATGCAAAGATATAACAAAACACAAAATAGAGGGCCGGGGATTTAGCTCAGTGGTTCCACTGCCTGCCTCACAACTGCAAGGGTCCCAAGTTTGATCCCCGGTAACAAAAAAACCCAAAATAGAGACCCATATCCCTTATGAACACAGAGGTAAAAACTGTAAATATAACCAAACTGAATTCAACAACACATAAAAAAGATCATAAGCAAAGTGGGACTCATCCTAGAGAGTTCAGCATATGCAAATCAATAAACATGATACAACACATATAGATACAGATAAATTATCTGGTTAAGAGTCAACATCCCTTCATGATAAAAACTCAACAGAGGTTTAGGTGTAGAAGAAACATACCACAAATACTACAGGTTATATTTGAAAAACTCACAGGTAGTGTCATAGTGAATAGGGAAAAGCCGAAAATGTTTCTAAAGGTAGGAAAGAAACCAAGGATATCCACTTTCCCCACTTTCATTTTTTAATAGTTCTAAAAGCCTTAGAGCAGTGAGGTAAGAGAAAGAATTAAGAGGCATCCAGATTAGAAAGAAACAAGTTAAATTATCCATGTTTGTAGAGACTCTGCTCTGTCTTGTTCACAGTATTTTTCAGGCCATTTCAGTGTAGGTGGAGCAGTTTTGCCTTGGTGTGAGAACTGTTTCTGAGAAACAGAACCTGCTGTGGCAGGTTTGTCATGAGCCAGTCTGTCCTCACTTCTATCCCTGAGGTTCCTGGAGGTGACCCATGAGAGGGGAGGTATTGGGGCGGCAGATCCTGAGTAGCAGAGATGGCCCACTTCCTTTAGAAAGTCCTCCTTGGGCTTTCTCTTTCTGTTGCTGAAGTTTGTTTTACTCTTGCCTCAGTTCTCAGCAGTCCGGCACTTCTTAAGCATTGTTCTTCCGGTCAGAAATAAGGTTTTAGGTAGAATGTGCTTTTTTCTTGGTCCTTATAGGAATTTTAAGATTTTTTTTGGTGGGGGTGGTACTCGGGATCGAACTCAGGACCTTGTGCTTGCGAGGCAGGCGCCAGAACCACTGACCTAAATCCCCGGCCCAGGAGTTTTAAGTTTTTAAGAGTAAGGAGAACATTGTCAGGGCATTGTTTTAATCTTATTTTTAGTAGTCATGTAATAAAGGTATGTTTCTGTAGTGGAGTTGGGCTTCTTTATGTGAAGAGTGTTTTAAGTTTTTATTGTTGTTTGTTTATTGTTTTTGTTTTGTTTTGAGATAAGGTCTTGCTATGTAGTTCAGGCTGGTCTTGAACTCACAGAAATCCTCAGTCTCCCAAGTGCTGGGATTATAGGTGTGTGCCACCATGCCCAGCTTGTTTTAAGCTTTAAAAAGTTTATTTCCCATATAAACTTTGCTTCAAAGTATTGGGCTTCTACTTCCCACAAAAAGATTTATCTGTTCTCTTTGAATAGCAAGTTAGTCAATTTGAAACTGAATTCTTGCTCTGTTGCATGCTTAGAAATTAAGTATTCTTTTCTTTTAAAAAAATGTAGCCAATGCTCTTCATGCTACCAACAACTTGCAAATTATCCCGGACTTTAGCCTCAAGGATTCCCGAGACCAGACTGTGCTGGGCCTGGCATTATGGACTGGTAAGGCTGTGCCTCAGGCTATTGATGTCTGCAGGCAAATCGATGTCAGAAGTGTAGGTGGGTGGATAAGTGGGATGAGTGGGGCTAATGGTTTGGTTGTAAAGTAACCTTTTTGTGTGGGTTGGACCTATAACATCCAGTGGGAAATGCTGGCTTTGAGAAGTTAAGGGGATATATTTGTTGTAGTAAGATGTTGAGAAAGTAGGGAAAGCTGAGCATGCCTTAATCAGGGCTTGTTTATTTCCTAGGCATGCACACGATTGCAGCCCAGCTGCTGGGCTCCGGGGCTTCCATCAATGACACCATGTCAGATGGGCAGACTCTGCTGCACATGGCCATCCAGCGGCAAGACAGCAAGAGTGCACTGTTCCTCTTGGAGCATCAAGCAGATATAAATGTCAGGTGGGATGAGACTGTGCTTTCCGCTATAACGCCAGGTCACTACTGAGATAGTTCAAAAGCATAACGTTGTTCATAGAAAAAAAACAAAAAAAAATTTTTTTGTTTTTTGTTTTTTGAGGCGGGGTCTCCCTTTGTAGTTCATTCAGGCTGGCCCTGAACTCCCTTCGATCCTCCTGCCTCAGCCTCCCAAGTGCTGGGATTACAGGCATGAGCCACTACGCCTGGCTGTATAAAAAATATTTTTATTCCTTCTTAAATTAAGGAATGAAAACAGTGGCTCTCAAAAAGTACAATGCACAGTTGTAAACTGAATATAATTGGTAGACTTGTGGGATGGAGAAGGGGAACTAAACTTTCATTGGAATGTCTCAGGGTCAGTGCATAGCATTCCACGAATTTGCTTATAAAAGACAATCCAAAATCAGTTCTTAAATAAGAATTTCAGTTATAAAGAACATCCCAACAGATAAACTTCAGACAGGCTTAAGGGAGAAAAAGACACAGAGTTAAATTTTTGTTGTGGTTGACTTTTCAAAGGAACTCATCGCTATTTTCAATGTCGGTTTGAGCCTAGATAATTGAGTGGAACAAAGAACTCTTGTCAAATGGGTAACTGGAGTGGTGGTGTTTTATTAAGATGCTTGCTATTAAAAGGAGTTGTATTCCTGTAAGATTTCAGCAGGTTGGGATGCTGGCCATTTACCATCTGGCTGCAATAGGGTGGTTATATTTTCTTTTTTTCAAGATTAATTTATTTGTTGTATAATATAAAACAGAAAGGAAAATCTAATTCCTGCTGCCCACTCACTTCAAAAATTCTTAAGGAAGCTAAAGTAAAACTACCTTGGATTTTGTTACTTTTTAAAATCAACAACTCTGGATAGAAATTGGGCAGTAGGTCAGGCCAGACTTCTGCTCCAAGAGCAGTGGAGGCCGTGCAGTCCCAACACTCGCCTATGTATCCCGGAGCTGTCTGGGTGGCTCTGTTTTCTAAAAAGGCAGAAGAAACAAACACTATTGACAGGTTTCATTTCCCTGAGAAAATTTCAATGCTTGTGAGTGAAGTATATATAAGGGATATAGTGGAATCTGGATTTCCAGAATACATAGGAGGGCACCCTTTGTCCTTTGGCTCTAGCTACAGACTTTGGTTTTGGTTTTGGTGTGCATGTTCTAGCAGGACTCAGGATGGGGAGACTGCCCTTCAGCTGGCCATCAGAAATCAGCTTCCACTTGTGGTTGATGCCATGTGCACCCGAGGAGCTGACATGTCTGTTTCAGATGAGAAAGGGGACCCCCCACTGTGGCTTGCATTGGCAAATAATCTGGAAGACATCGCATCCACTCTGGTGAGACAAACAACAAACATAATGTTAGCCTCTGTTAACAGATGGGAGTATTTTATGTCAGAGATGAATTTGGTGCCTAGATACAGTCACAGGAGCAAGAGATCTGCCAAATAACAAATTGGGTTGAGAACAAACAAAAAGTCATGTTAACAAATAAAACAGTTCAGCATGGTCTTGGCTAACACTTTTGTTTTGAGGCCATCTTTATCAAGAAGGCCACCTATGGGCTGGGGATTTAGCTCAGTGGTTTCACCACCTGCTGCGCAAGCTCAAGGGCCTGAGTTCAATCCCCAATATCAAAAAAAAAAAAAGAAGGCCACCTAGGGCCAAGGATTTAGCTCAGTGGTTCCACCGCCTGCCTTATAAGCGCAGGGACCCAAGTTCGATCCTCAGTCACACCCCCCCCCCCCCAAAAAGAAGGCCACCAAGAAGCAAAAGAGTAGAGCTATTTGTTCAGGAGTCTTCTCCTGGGGTTGTTGATTTGATGTGGGCCTGTCCTCATAATTGCCATAGCCATAGATTCCTAAATCTCAAGATTTTCTATCTTGTTTGCAAGACAGGTCCCCAACAGTAGAGACAAACCGTGGAATTTCTTTTTAGCTCTAAAGGGCCTGCTATTGATACTAAGACATTTCACACCTGGGGAGATTGCCTGGTAATTACAGTTGAGTGTTGCTGGGGGCTGATGAGTACATGGGTAGGCAGGTACCTGTGTTTTCTGTCCCTTTTGCAGCACAGCTCTAGAGGCACTAATTAAACATCCCCAGACCCATCCCATAGGACCTGGTGCAAGACCTTGCACGGAACAGATTTGAATCACTGTTTGTAAAACTAATAATTATTCAGATTAAAGTAATTATCGGTTAAATATCAACCATATCTTACCTGAAAAATGGATCTAATGATGTACATAAAACTCAGACTTGGTAATAAAAATTTTCACTTTTGGTTGACAGTGTTTGTGAGAAACTTTTGTTTTTTGCAGGTCAGACATGGTTGTGATGCCACATGTTGGGGTCCAGGACCGAGCGGGTGCCTTCAAACACTCTTGCATAGAGCCATTGATGAAAACAATGAGTCCACTGCCTGCTTTCTTATTCGCAGGTCTGTGAAGCACAAGTATCTCTTGAAATTGTGTTCAGCTTATTGCAAACTGGCTCTTTTCTGATGTTAATCCATCTCCAGTCTAGACATACCCACAGCTGGCTTGACCTTCATAATTAAGACCACCAGAATCACTGTTCTGTCATGTCAACTTAGCCAAAGCCCAGCTCAGCTGTGAGGGGAGGGGCTCACTTGCCAGAATCAAAGACTAAAAAGAGCTACCATCCTGTTTGGGAAGCTACATAGCTCCTGCAGTCGAGTCAGACCAGTTCCCATTGCAAAGCCAAGAGGCTAAGGCAGAGGAGACCAGATGGCATCTGCTTGCTACCACCTAGACACATACACCATAACAAGTTCTGTGCCCCTCAGAGTGTGGGGTATGTGGCAGGCAAAGTGATTCAGGAAAGCTTTAGAGTGGTGCTCCTCAAACTTAAATATTTGCATATTTCCAAGGGAGGTTGTAACTATTCTGATCCCAGGTTGCCCCCAAGACCAATTGCAAAAGAATCTATGGCAGTGGGACCTCCACTCCAGTATTTGAGATCAAGGCCCAAGGAGAGCACATTCTGGCACCAGCAGCTTTTTTGTTGGGGTACATGAGGCTGCTTGCCTGCAGCCCAGGTGATACATGTCCTTCCTTCTGTTGCCTCATTCCTTTCAGTGGCTGTGATGTGAATAGTCCCAGACAACCAGGTGCTGATGGAGAAGGAGAGGAAGAGGCCAGGGATGGGCAGACCCCTTTGCATTTGGCAGCCTCGTGGGGGCTGGAAGAGACAGTGCAGTGTCTTCTGGAATTTGGCGCCAATGTAAATGCACAGGTATGTAGTTTCTCTTTTTCCAATGAAGTCAGTGCTTATACACGGAAATCTCCTGCAGAAAGGGACTTCAAAAGTCACCAGTTGCAGGCCTTTGCTTTACCATAACAGGGGTTTGGTATGACAGGTGAAGTGACACTCTCTGAGTTATACAGCCTATCTAGCAATTGAAATGATTTCAGGTTTTCTTCTCGCTCCCTTTGTCCCTAAATACCATGAGGAAAGTTAGTTTTATCTTGTTCTTTGTCTACTGTTCCTCTATTAAGAGATTTCCTCTGAGACTTGGGTTAGTCCCAAACCAAATATGGTGTTCGGGACAATGTTCATTAACTCAGTTGAGCACCCTCAGTTCTGGTCCTTGATGCTTTACAACATTCTGGTCTGGGAAGATTTATATCTGATGCCCTATAATCAGATAAGGGCAATGTAACTTGGAGCAGAGAATCCCTGCAGGTCTTCTAAAGCCAATATATTTGTGATGGGCCCACTGTTGCCACTGAAACACTGGAACATAGTGTAATAGGAAGTAGCTTCCAGTCATTTCTGTGTTTGGCCTTCTACAAGCTGATTTCAAACACAGGTTGGAAGTGTTTATTCTCATAACCAAAATTTGATCCAGAAGTTATCTGTCTTTATATTTTTTCTGAGTTTTATCTCAATTTGACATAGAAATCTTGTTCCCCTAGGATGCAGAAGGAAGAACACCTGTCCATGTGGCCATCAGCAACCAACACAGTGTCATCATTCAGTTGTTGATTTCTCACCCTGATATCCACTTGAATGTACGGGACAGACAAGGACTGACCCCATTTGCCTGTGCCATGACTTATAAGAACAATAAGGCAGCCGAAGCCATTCTAAAACGCGAGTCTGGGGCTGCTGAGCAGGTGAGTGACCAACACCTGCCATTCTCTAGAACAGAACTCTTATGTGGAGACTAAACAGATGTCACCAACTAAGCAGGACTCTTCTATACAAAGACATTTGTTTTTAGATTATGCTTCCTTTTCCTAGGATTTGGCTATTCAGATGTCCTGTCAGTGCTAGCTAAGAAGTGACTGCCCTGTTTGTCAGCCTGATGATGCCTACTTAGGTGGAAGTGGGAGCTTGCTGGGCCTAGTGATAGGCATTCTGTGGCACATACAGCTGACCTCATACTCTGCTTCTGCTGGCTAACTGACCTACTGATGACTGTCTTTAAAAGACTGAAATTGAGATGGAAGAGTTTGTGTTGTGGTATTGGATGTTTTAGAGGAGTTAAGTTGTTACTCAGTTTAGCATGCTCAGTTGTTTTTGTTCTCTGCAGTTCTTTATCATTTGTTAAATCTAGATTGTTCCCTGTTGATCTACAACAGAGTGGGTAGGAAATGACCATAATGACTGATCTGAGGCAGGAGCTGGAATGGGTTTGTCAAGTCAGACCCACAAACCCCTGTGATTCTCCAGTCACCACGTAGCATACTGCTAAGATATAGAAAGCCATTTGTGAAGGTGAAATGAAAATGTGGGGCTTGAGCAAAATGCAGTCCTAGTATGGGGAAGATTATTGCTTGATATTTTGGGCTTTTGTACCTTGTTTTTCTTCAGTATTTTCTTTTTTCTTCTTCTTTCTTCTTTCTTCTTCTTCTATTTTCATGTGACTGGATTGCTAGGTATTAACCTCACCCTTGCTTAGAGAGTGTAAAATCTTCACAAATGGAGATATTTATCTCACATCTCATTCTGTGTCTAGCATGAAACTGGTGCTGTTGCTCCAGGTCCTTTGCAGATACATTGTTACACTAGCAGATTCTGTTGACCTGTATGTGGGAGGTAACGAGTGTGTGTTGAGATGTGGTGTCTCTCTCACTTCCACCGGAGCACTCATACTAACGACAGCTATTGCAATGATAGAATACAGTGTGGTTTGATTTGAGCGAGCTCTATCTGCTTTACATTAGTGGAGCAAAGTCTGTGGCATGCTGCTGACTACCTCCAGCATTGTGTATTATCTTCTAGCTCAGAAAAAGAAGAAACTTCCCCCAAATTTCTGAAGCCTTTGTTTCACTGGTCAAGGGACAAGCTGGCATTGCACCTATGGTATTAGGGCACTGGGTGCTTGGTTTAGCTGAAGCAGAGACTCTCAAGGCTAATGTCTACCTTTGCTTCTCTCCAAGCACCCCTATACCTTGCATTCCTTTCCCTGTCCTTTAGGTTATTGTCTTTCTTGGCTTTTCACGTCCAGTTTTTGCTGCAGGAAAATGACAGGGTAGCTTGGATCAGTGCCGTGGCTCCTTGTCCCTGACCATGCGGATGTGACCATGCACGTGTATGTGCAGAGATGATAGAAAGGGTCTGTGGTGGGTGGAGTATAGGAAGGGGGTGGCATTTAATGTTGGTTCTTCGGAGGGAACTTGGTTCTTGGGAGGGAATTTCTGGAACTAAGGAAAAGATTACATTATGACCTCTTCCATGATCCTTGCAACTGCTGGATGCTCAAGAGTCATTCTTTAAAAGGAACCTGATAGGGGCTGGGGATTTAGCTCAGTGGTTCTGCTGCCTGCCCTTCAAGTGCAAGGACCCGAGTTTGATCCCTGGTACGAAAAAAAAAAAAGGAACCTGCTAATTTTTTTTTTCCATTTATTGCCTTAGGTGGATAACAAGGGCCGGAATTTTCTTCATGTGGCAGTTCAGAACTCTGATATTGAAAGTGTCCTGTTCCTAATCAGTGTCCACGCTAATGTGAATTCCAGAGTCCAGGATGCTTCCAAGTTAACCCCTTTGCACCTTGCTGTCCAAGCAGGCTCAGAGATTATTGTCCGCAATTTGGTAAGTGACACAGAACATTGTTGCATGTAACACACTATAGGGTATACACAGACTTTATCCTCACACGTGTTTTGCCAGGTACTATGAAAAGCCAGAGTGAATTTTGAGGTCTAGGCCAATGTGATCAGGAAACAAGGTGTGGCGGGGGAACTGGAGAGTGATGGAGGAGGTGGATCTGATGGCATCAGGTACCTGCTTCTTGTGGGGAAGCAGCTAGGAGGTGGGATTGGCCTCTAAGGAGTAGGCAAACAGGCCTTGTGTTCATCAGTCAGTCTGCCACCTCAGAGCCTGTGGAGGTTTAAGGTCCTTCACCAAGGTTGTGTTCCTGCCTTACTAAGGCCTGACCTCACAGGTGATAGAGGAGCCTAGTAACAGCTGACCTTTCAGACAGTAGCTATGTGCTGCTTCCTCTCTGAATTGGCACAGCATAATGTTTGAACCTGTTCACAGTGAAATAATGTCACACTGGCCTGCATGCCCCACCCCCCAACTAGCCTTGGGGTTAGCTGTGATCCCTGGTCTAGCACTAGTGACCATGAATATACCTCTGTATGCCCTGTCTGGAGCGTCCTGTGGCTACTTATGGTATGTCTTGTCTATGAGTGATCAGGTACACAGGGTCTGAGGGGATCAGGACTCAAGTCTGGGGGAGAACATGAGCAGCTGACGGGTGCCTAGATTCCCAGAGGCAGGTGCCTGTGCACACAGAAGAACCAGTGGTGCCACATACCTCAGGGAACGACAAACTGGGCTCTGACTGCAAACGACAGAGTATTTTCTGTTAACAGCGACTGTCTTTGAAACTGTCAGAAAGTGGATGATGAGTAAACTTCAGATACTAAATGAATGGTCAAGATATTATTTAAAGATTCTTCTTGTTTTTGAATCTGTAATTCTTTGTGGTCTTTTAGAAAATATAAACACTACATAGCTTGTGGGAAAAATTAAAGCACATAAGGGAAAAGTATTTCTCTTTCACTCCCAACTCCCCTGAGTTTGTTATACACTTATTGCTAATTATGGAGTCTTGTTTGGAGAATTTCATCCTTGGGCATTTTTGTCATTGGGCCAACTTCATAGAACATGCTTACCCAAAGACAGCTACAATGTCCCTAGGCAATAAAACCCTACCCCAGCATCTCACTACTGTGTGTGTACTGACTGAAGTGTCATTAGCAGCATGTGACTATTTATGCTTTTAAATACATTTAAAATTTGTGTTTCTCTGTGTGCATATACATCTCTGTCTCTCTCCAATTGGATTCATACCTTATAATTTGCTTTTCTTTTCAAGAGCACAAATCCACCTGTGCTTGTTTATTTCTCATTACTTTAAATCCTTGAAGGGTGCAGCATCACACAGGGCTGTGCCCAGTTGGCTTAGCAGGAATGTTCTTCAGAATTTCACATGAACCATGTCACTGTCTCCATGGACACGAGTTACCTTTCCCTAGATGACTCGGGGTTTTTCAGTTTGCCACAAGAATCACTGGTTGTTCTTTGCTTTGTACACATAAGAATATCACCTTCAAGTTTTGTTTTGTTTTGTTTTTTGTTTGCAGTTCTGGGGATTGAACCCAGGGCCTTCACATTGAGCTATATCCCCAGCCCCTTTAAAAATTTTGAGACAGGGTCTTACCAAGTCATGAAATTTCCGAAGCTGGCAACTTGCAATCATGTCTCAGCTTCCTAGAGTGTTGGGATTAGTGTATAAGCTTGCACCACCATGTATGGCTGATGCCTTCAGTTTTAAGAACTGGGCGCTCCATTTGGTTCCAGAGCTCCAACAGAAATGGCCTTGTACTTCCAGACATGTCTGCTCTTTAGAAGTCTTGTTCCTGCCAGGCTCCTTAGGCTGCAAGTTGAGGGGAAGAACAGTTTTTGTCTGTTTGGGTTTTTTTTTAACTTACTGTATTGTCAACATCTTTCCATGTTAATATATAGCTATGTTATTTCATTGAATACACTGTAATTTTTTTTACAACCAAACCCTTCTTGCCACTGGGCTTTACAAGCAGTGGATAACCTTATATAGTACAGTGAATATTGTTGCAGGCCTGTGTGGTTTTTATATACCAATATCCTAGAAGTAGAATTTCTATGTCTCAGGGAATACCTATTGAACATTTTGGTACATAAGTGCTAGTTTGCCCTTGATGCAGATTTTGCTGTTTTTTGTTTTGTTTTGTTTTGTTTTGGTACCGGGATTGAACTCGGGTCCTTGCGCTTACGCAGCAGGCAGCTTGTTTTGTTTTTTGAGACAAGGTCTTGCTATGTAGTTTAGGCTGGCCATGAACTGTGTTGCCCAGGCTGGCCTCAGACTCTTGGCAAACCTCCTGCCTCAGCCTCCTGAGTGCTGGGATTATAGGCATGGGCCACCATGCCCAGCCAGTTCTGCTGGTTTTGCCTCACCAGTAGTATGTGTGAGATCCTCGGCACCCAGCTTTGCAAGCAGGGCAGACCATCAATCTTGGTGGAATCAGAGGACAAGTAGGATAGGCCCCTTAAGTGGGACCTTGATTGTGTTAGAAAGGCTGCTCAAGTAATCAACTTCAACAGCTTCTTGCAGGAGCCAAGGTGAATGAATTAACCAAGCACCGTCAGACTGCCCTCCATCTTGCTGCCCAGCAGGACCTGCCGACCATCTGCTCAGTCCTTCTAGAGAATGCAGTGGACTTTGCTGCTGTGGATGAGAATGGAAATAATGGTAATTTCAGTCACCGCTCTGTGCACTGCCGCATGCAGTGAGCGATCCCTCCTTTCTAAGGACTGGAGGTGTGCCACACCCTTGCATCTGCTCCTCCTCAGGGAGGTTGGATTATATAGGAACAGAACTGTGACAGGAAATACTCTGGACAAGGCATGACTCCTTCCACTGACCAGGTCTTGGGTGGCCTCCCAATCTAACTGGTAACTCTGGAAGCCTAAAGGGGCTCCTTTAGCTGGGCATGGTGGTGTGTGCACTTGGGAGGCTGAGGCAGGAGGATTACTGTGAGTTCAAGGCCAGCCTGAACTAAATAGTGAGACCCTGTCTCAAACAAAACAAAGGTGGGAGAGCTTCTTGTGAAACTATTAAATCTCATCTTCGGAGCTTCTGAAGCTGGAAGCAAAGGCTTGTGAGATTGCATTTATGACTCATTCTTTAAGGGCAGTAAAGGCAGGAGGGGATAGTCCTGTGCACCAGTCACAGATCTGACTGAGTCCCATTTAGAGCGTGTTGGTGAGGGTGGGGAGGAACTGAGGTTTTTCTGCATGTACTTCTGGGCTTGTACAATAAGAGGATTTACTTCCCAGCCCTTCATCTCGCTGTCATGCATGGTCGGCTCAACAACATCCGGGTTCTCCTGACAGAGTGCACAGTAGACGCTGAAGCCTTTAATCTGAGGTGAGTTGTCCGCAGCAGAGACCAGGACTCTGGGTCACTGGCTGCTCTTCAGAGCTAGTGATAACCAGTGCATCCCCTCCAGCATGCTGCAAAACTCATCAGCTTTTGGTTCCCTGGTATTTTTGGCTTTGTAACAAATACTTTTTAGAAAAAGTTTTATGACCTGCTAACTTCTTGTAGATTTACCCTGCATCATGGAATTCAGAAAATTCTTTATCTTTTGTGATGGCCATAGCAGGTACCTACCTAACTTTTCCAACTTGTTTTATCAGAGGCCAGTCACCACTGCACATTTTGGGACAGTATGGCAAAGAGAATGCAGCAGCCATCTTTGATCTCTTTTTAGAGTGCATGCCTGAGTATCCTCTAGATAAGCCAGATACAGAAGGAAACACAGGTATGTACTAAAGTGTTTGTATGTCCTATCCCATTTGCATGCCTTGCTTCTTGGAAAAACAAGGTCATTATTTCAGGGCACTCAGCTCAGTGCATTTTGGCTAAACTCAGTATCTGTGCCACAACCCTGTTGTGACGTTTGGAGTATCTGACTGCTCAAGTGCATCTAGGCTCTAGCCATATCTGTGTCCAAAGAGGCCTGCCTCTCTGTTTTTATTGCCTTTGTTTGCCTTTTATTCCGGGTTAACTAGGGTCCTTCCCAAGATCCTGAATTCCAACAGAGAAAGAAGATAAACAAACACCTCCCAGTACTTCAGGAGGAGGAAGTGTGCTGTAGAGTATGTTGACATGCTTTGAAAAAGCAGCAGGTGCCAGGTGTGGTGGAACACACATACCATCCCAGCACTCAGGAGGGTGGGACAAAAGGATCACAAGTTCAAGGCCAGCCTGAACTACAGTGAGACCCTGTCTCAAGAACAAAAAAAGAAAAAGCAGTGGTCTCTTTCGTGGTCACTCTAGCTACCCACAGTATCTATGGATCCTCATGGAGGTCCCACCAGAGCCTTGGCCCCCTATGTCTGTCTGGACTTACTAACAAATGTCTGGCCCTCAGCTATCCTCCACCACCCTTTGGCAGTGGCAGGCTGGAGCCGGGTGGAAAGTAGCCTTACATTTGGTCTTGTTTTCCAGTGTTGCTCTTAGCATACATGAAAGGGAATGCCAACTTGTGCCGTGCCATTGTCCGATCTGGGGCTCGCCTGGGAGTGAATAATAACCAAGGAGTCAACATTTTCAATTACCAGGTTGCCACCAAGCAACTTCTATTTAGACTACTAGGTAAGTGGTGTGTGATTTGCTCTTTATTGCAAAATCAATTACAATGTTTTTTTTAAAGCAAAACATTTATTGGTACATTTTAGATATACATAATGATAATATGTGAATTTGTACCTGTACATGATATATCTTGTACAGTATTGATTATCTAGGTGTACTGGTGATCTTTAAGATCTGAACCAGCAGTTTCTGTGAATGGGATGAAGGGCCTTTGAATGATGTTGAGAGTCACTGCTAACATTCTCTTTTCAGAATACTTTGCTTTGGGGCGCCTGTCTATAACCTACTTCTCCTGAACCCTCTAGAAATCCATAAGCTTTAGGCAGATCACCCTGACCATGTCTCTTGCACCTTGCCCTTTTTTTTTTGGTACCGGGATTGAACCTGGGTCCTCGATGAGGCAGGCGGTGGAACCACTGAGCTAAATCCCCGGCAACCTTGCCCTCTTTTGGCTGCATCAGTCTCTGTAGCCTTCAAAAGGGCCTTAAGCTTCAGCCCTCACCAACTCTTCCTTTTCCAGGCTCCATTTTTGGAGAGCAGTTCTTCACTCTTGGTTTTCTTTAAATTTTTATTAGTACCTATTTGCCAAACATAATGATCACATTCATCATAGGGATTTGTACATGTACATAATATGTCTTAATTCTTTTTTTTCCCCTACCTTCAACCCTTCTTCTCCCCATTTACAAAAGCTTTGTTTCCATTTTTTCTGTTCCATTCTTGTTTTTAAATCCCTTTTCTCTTCTTCCTTTCTCCTTACTGCCTCCCTTATTCCCCTTCGAATTTGAACATGTTCTTCCTACTTCTCGTATCTGTCCCTGTTTTGTTTCTTATTTACCCCTTTGGGTTTCTCACATAAGAGAAACAATATATTTAAACTTATGTGTCTTGGGCCGGGGATTTAGCTCAGTGGTTTCACCGCCTGCTGCGCAAGTGCAAGGACCCAAGTTCGATCCCTGGTACCAAAAAAAAAAAAAAAAAGAGCTGATAAACTTGTGTGTCTTAATTTATTTCACTTAACATTATGTTCTCAAGTTGCATCTATTTACCTAAAAATGATTCAAGTTTATCCTTCTTTATGGCAGAGTAGTACTCTATTGTATATAAATGCCACATTTTCTTTATCCATTCATCAGCTGATGGGCATGTTTTGTTTCCAAGATTTAGCTACTATAAACTGTGCTGTTATTAACATGGGTGTGCATATATCAGTGTGGTATGATGCTTTTAACTCTTTTGAGAACCCTTGATTTTTTATTTGCTTGTTTTTACTCCTTCTTGTTGAGGCATAATAGCAAGAATCAGAATACCTTGAGTGCCTAGGCTTTGTTATCACCCAGAATGGAGACCAATAAGCAGGAAAGCTCAGAAGTACTTAATGGTAGTGTGATCTTGGTGTAGGTGGTTGGCCTAGGTCACAAAGCTGGTTGTGGCAGAGCTGCATTGAAGGATGGGGTTTCAGAAGCAAGATGTGCAAGCACCAGAGGTTTCCACCTATGGATGGATAGATGAATAGAGAAATGTATCTATGTGCACGATGGAGTTCTCTTCAGCCAGAAATAAAGATAAGTCTAGCTGGGCCAGGGATTTAGCTCAGTGGTTTCGCCGCCTGCTGCGCAAGTGCAAGAACCCAAGTTCGATCCCCAGTACCAAAAAAAAAAAAAATCGCCTGCTGTGCAAGTGCAAGGACCCGAGTTCGATCCCTGGTACAAAAAAAAAAACCAATAAAAACAAACAAAGATAAGTCTAGCTATTTGCAGCAAGATGGGTGAACTGGAGGATATTATGCTAAGTGAAATAAGCCAAGCAGAAAAGGAAACCATATGCTTTCTCTTGTGGAAGCTAAGGAAGCTGATTTCATAGACATAGAGAGTAGAATAGTGGTCACTAGAGACTGGAAACAGAAAGGAATAGGGGAAACAGGGAGGTGAATAGCACCAGAATTGGGTAGGAGTAAGTACTGGTGTGCTACAGCATTGTAAAGTGACTGAAGTCTACAGTGATTTATTATAGATTTTATAAAGAAGGAGAAGAAAGGGGTTTGAAGGTTCCCAACACAAAAAAATACTTATATATGGAGAAGGAAATGCTAATTACTCTGATTTGATCATTACCTTATATACATCTATTGAATCATCACACTATACCTCAAATAAGTACTATTATTACATGCCACTTAAAATATTTTAAAAGCATAGTGTTCGTGATACCTAGTCTACTTTAACTTTTTCCTTTGCCCAGCACTTGGTTGGCCTTTTGAGAGCTCAGAGCGGGTGCCTATAACAGTGCTGGTATTAGAAAGTGCTCAGTGTGACTAACCATATGTCATTCTGTCCCCTTGAGCTCAGTTACTCTGTATGGAGCATAAGCACAGTGCCCGGTGTGCAGTTAGAGCCCATTACATAAATACTAGTGGTTGTTGTTATCACCACGAACACTCATCTGCTTTAGCACTTTCTCTGTCTCTTCTCTATGGTGGCCCCACCAAACTCAGCCAGTCCATCTAGAAACCTGGGAATGCCTTTGTTTCCGTCCTACTCCCTGCCTCCCTCTCATATCTAACACTCCTATTCAGTTCTCAGATCTACCAGATTCTTCCTCCTGAGCTTCCCTTGTCTATCTCCCATGCTCCCCTGACCATTTGGGTCCTCCAAGTCTTTTTAGTTGTGTGGTACCTGCTGCCTCTGCACTGTGCCTTACACTCCAGCCAGCCCTTGCTGTATGTACCCCCCTCCCCCAGCCCCCATACTGCTGTTCCACCGCCTTGAACAGCGTTGTCTCCTCCCCAGCCTGCCTGGTGAGTGCTAAGTCTCCATAGTCTGTGGGAAGCTTTCCCTGACCCAGTTAGAATATATCACCCCTCTTCCCTCGTGTCATTCAGCAGTGTGCTGCTTTCTTCCTTTTTTTTTGTGGTACCAGGGATCGAACTCAGGACCTTGCACTTGCGAGGCAATGGAACCACTAAGCTAAATCCTGGCCCTGGTTTCTTTCTTAGACTGTTTCCATGACTTCATTGGCACAGTCACTATTTGACAGGAACTAGTCTTCTCTGTGTTACAGATATGCTGTCCAAGGAGCCTCCATGGTGTGATGGCTCCAACTGCTATGAATGCACTGCCAAATTTGGAGTTACAACTCGCAAACATCACTGGTAAGGCCTCTGTCTGCTATCACTTGCCTCTAGAAGATGAGGGGACTTATGTTGATATCATTACTTCCACAATTTTCCACGACTTACCAGGACCCGTACTCCCCTGGGAAAAATGTCACCAGATAGAAAGATGAGATGATAAGACTGAGCAGGGTCCAACTGAGGAGTGTGTATATTTGCACAATGGAGGTGTAAGGACGGCAGGGAGCATTCAGGCTGGTGGACTTCCTAATGGATGCTAAGGGCACACAGGTTCTGGGGAATCTGTCAGGCCTTGTGTCATCTGCCCTGGGCTTGCAACAAAACCAAGAAGAGCTTCTTCTCTCATGGTGTACCTGAGTAGAACTGAGGAGCTAGTCCCATTAAATAGTGAGACAGTTTGCTGACCTGGCCTTTATTTTTATTTATTCTATTATTTATTTTATTTTATTTTTTGGTACCAGGGATCGAACTGGGGTCCTTGTGCTTGCGCAGCAGGCAGCGAAACCACTGAGCTAAATCCCTGGCCCATGTCCTTTATTTTTAAAGGAGGCCTTCTTCAGCATTACTTTATTAGCTTAATTATTGGCTAGAATTTTGTTGTCATGGAATAAAACTTATACATGAATTGGTGTAACTTGGCTGCAGAGTTGGCCAGAGTACCAGTTGTGTAGACTGACTTGTCCCATGTGCCAGGGAGCAGTCTTTCCTTTACCACCCCTCTCATACTTCCTTTCTTTGCTTCCAGTCGTCACTGCGGACGTCTTCTTTGCCATAAATGCTCGACCAAGGAGATTCCTATTATAAAGTTTGATCTGAACAAGCCTGTGCGAGTTTGCAACATTTGCTTTGATGTACTGACTCTGGGTGGGGTCTCTTAGTGAGTCCCCAAGAGCCTCCAGGCCACATCCCCCATCATCTTCTCAGCAGCTGCTCTGCTCACCAGCCTGCGCCCCACCCAGAGCGGAGCTGGCAGTCTTTCTGCACCAAGAGACTGGACCAGTTAAGGACCATGGTGTGATCCCATTTCAAATGATGCTGTGTGGTTGTGAGTGTCAGGCTGTGATCAGTTTCATTAATGTCTCACTAACTGCATCTGGACATTTAGCTTAAGTGGTAAATGTGATAAGAGTTAGATCCATTCTGCTAGCAACATACAAGGACAATTTTAAACCATTTTCCCTTCCAGTAGCTTAGTGTCCATCTCAGAGCATTCATGCAGTCTTCCTGCTTGGGCTGACTCAGGAGGCAGAGCCTAACAGAGTCGAAAGCTGGCTGCCGGATGGGAGCCAGCTTTACTCTAGGGTGATTGGCTGTGGACTTTTCTGCGGTGTTTTCATAAATAGCATCCTCTTGCCCTGAAGTTTTGTTTTGTTTTGTTTTGTTTTTTAGCTAAGGTGTATTTTTAATGAGCTATCCCTTTTTAAAAGGTGAAATCTTTCTAAACAGGGTTCAAAGATGAGAGCTGAAAAATCGTGGCCTTAACAACTGAAAGCTTTACCAGTGTTCATGCTGCTGGGGTGTCAAGAGTGCAGGTTGGCAGCCTGGCACCTCCTAGCAGCTGTCTCATTCTCTCGTCTTGCTGCGTCCTGTCTATGGAGTCCTCAGTTACTCTGCCACTATAGTGGTGGAGGAAATGCACTTTTATATAGCTGCGTTACTGGTGATTTCAATTTAAAAATCCATATTCAAAAATACCCTTACTCATCCTTGCATCAGTGATTCTAATGTTCAGCTTTGGCTTAGCCCTACACTAGTGCTACACTAGTGCTGAGTGTATCTTGGCCCAGAGATTCATACTGGCCAAGTAATGAGAAGAGGGATCAACAGGACTTCAACCCCAGAGGCATCTCCAGCCTCGAGCTGCCAGGTCCTATCTCTGCGATACTCCTGCTTCTCTCGGAAACCTTCCCTGGTTATGCTGTGAGTGCTGCTGGTCCCAGTTCTATGTAGCTTTCCCTGTCCATGAGGGCCAACAGCCAAAGGCCCCGGCCAAGAGTGTATGACTGGTTTTGGAAGACTCTGGCTTGAACGTTGAACGAGGCCTCCTGAACTTACTGGGCCTTAGTCGCTGCTAGTACATATATTAACCCTGAGGTATTAAACTTTTCTTTTGAAAGTTTGGCCAGTTTTCAAAATATGCACGTTGAAAGAAACTTGTACCATTGCTTTTTAAAACACCCAACTCTGAGATGAACAATATGTACTATATAGTTATACTCAGAGATTAACGGTCTCAATCATGTGTACTGATTTTCCAGACATTTAATAACCACTACATTTTTTGCATTAATGAAATATGGATATATGTGTAAAAGGGACTAATTTTTTTACTGCAACAGCCTGTTTTCTTTTTTGAATAATGATACGTCCTCTGTGTTGCTGTAGATTTATACATTCTCTTGCCTAAATGTGTATAAAATGTGCTGATAAACCGGAGTGCTACCTTTTAAAGATATTTCTGTGATTTATAAGATGTATGCTAATATGAGTTTGTGCACAGTGTTTAAAGGAAGAAAAATCAGAAGTGTTTCCTTGTCCCCCAGTCTGTGACATGTTTCATATGGAAGTTTTCTAGAAAAACTCAACAAAGTCTTGGCAGACGACCATGTGAAGCATGTGGCCAGTTTGTTTTTTGTTACCTGAAAAGGGTCACAAAAATGTAGGGCTTAGGTAGCTTAACTCTTTAATCAGAAAAGATAATTATGATTCAGAGATGAATTGAGATGGCCGGTACAAACATTGTTCTTTCAATGTTCACAGGGTAGGATGGGGTTCAGTCAGGGATGAGGCTGATCTGCCCTTGCCCTGCCACACCCGTTTCAGTAATAATCTTGCCTGTTACTGCATTGAAAAATCTTAAGATCATGTTTAAAATATATTGATTCAAGCTTCTGTTTCTTCAGAGTCCAGGTATAGCAATGGTACTGCCCAGCCATGGATTGGGGAACATTTTTTTGAGTTCTGCATTGGTACATGCATGTAGACAAGGAATGGGCATCTTTCTGCAGTCTTCGGAGATCTCCCTGGCCCCGCTGATGCTCACAGGACTGTGCTCAGCAGGTTCCTTGAGGCGCAGCTTACCTGTAGGAGTCCAGCTTACACTGCCCTGGACCAGACACACTGTTTGCCCCTCTTGTGCTCCTCATGCTGTCAAGACTTTACTACAAAACTGCCTAGGTGTTCTTACTGAATTTAAATCAGTGGCTTAAGTACTAGTCGCTTAATTTTATTCATTCTGAAAGTTTCCAATTATGAATGAGTAGAGCAAGAAGAATAAACTTCACTGCAACATAATTTGCTGTATCAGTCAACATTGGTAAGCTGAATTTGCTTTTTAACTGCCTCTTACTCATCATCAGACTTAGTGTATTTTTTCTAATAGAGGCACAAACCATGTGCTATATATAAATCAAATGGCTTAAGCTAATCTACCATGATCCTCTAACACAGAGATGCCCCACAAACTTAAGTGCCTACACTTAGGACTCTTTAGTTTCAATTATCTTTTTGGTGATGTCTCACTGAATGATATTATTAGAACATGTGTTTCATTTGGAGTTTTGTGCCTGTGCATTGTCAACCCCAATTAGCAATTTAGTTTGGGCTGGATTAGACTGCTCAGTTCATCTGGCACATTCTCTCCAAGGAGTGGGTTCCATGTGACGTTTAGTCCTCTACCTCAGAGTCCTGAGTCATTTTGACCACCTGGATCAACTTCCTTACTCTCTCCGCTGAATGGGTCACCTGCATGGAGCTCAGTGTGCATGTGGTCTCGTCACTTCCTGATTCATGTTGCTCTTGTTGTATCAAACCGTTTCTGCACTAATCTGGTCCACAGGCATAGGGCAGAGGGAAGGCTTGGGAAGGGCAAGAGCACTGTACTCCGTGTAGGTTTCCTTCACGTAGAGAAAAAGAACACTGCTGGACTATAATGCTTAGCCCTGAAAGGCAAGCCAACCACCCAGGTGACAGTGGCACACACAAGTAAATGTACCCTTCTACCACAGACACTTGCGTCCCTTAGGACGAGCCCCAGAAGAACCACCTGTGGCACCAGAGCTCCCCCTCCAGCTGGGGAGAAGAGTGAGAAGAGAGGAAACAGCTTGCCAAAAGCATTTGGAAGCCACACTTTCACTTTATGAAAGCAATTTAGTGAAGAGCTGAGTGTTTGATCAAATGCAAACTAAATTCCCAGAAGTTACAGATGCCTTAAAGACTTTCTGTGGAAGATTGTCACTTGTATAAATTTTGTGTGGCACAAATTAATATATTAACCTGTAACAACTGATGACATTGGTTTTCTGTAGCTAGGGAGTCATGAGACTGCTCAAGTTACTGACTTGCTTTTTGGGCAGCTATGTGGAGTTGGCTGTTCTGTGACATCCTTGTGGTACCAAGGGCAAGGGCAACTACAGTTGGGCAGAAACTGCAGGCACATATTTGGGTCAATAATCTAGGCTTCCAGACTATTAAGGGTGGCGCTGTGTGGGATGATGGGACCGTGGTGTTTATCAGCATTATTTCTTTGGAGTCTGTAATGGAATGTATTTTTCAAATACATACTGATATTTGCATTTTCTGTAACAGTTCATTAAATAAAATGAGGTAAAGTTATACATTTAAAGTGGAAACTTTAATAAGATATTTGTAGTTACTTCTGATGCAGAAGTACCAATAAACATTAAAAACAAAATTTTAAAAAACTCTTGATATGTAAATAAATTTCTTTATCCTCTAGTAAAGTTTGAATTCCCACATTTTCCTAAAACAGACTGTTGACAACAGTCAGAAAGTAGCCATTTTCTGAATAGCAAGCAGCTGCCTGGACTTCCTGTGCTGTGGGGCTAGACTTGAGCTCATGGCGATGTGTGGTATCACAGATGCAGTCTCAGCCATCTGATGCCTTGTGAGTTCTCCAAAGGATCCTGTAAATAACCCTTCGGACTTCATCATTTAGGAACTACTCAAGAGGATCCATGGTGAGCTGCTTGCGTGCTGTGCTCCAGGGGACGCTAAGGAAGGTTTTAGGCCTTACAAATTTAAAATCTAGTGTTTCACAAAGCCCTTGTAGAAACTGTATAAATCTAGTAACTCACCTGGCCTTCAAAACACCTCTTTTAGGGCTGGGGATTTAGCTCAGTGGTTCCGGCACCTGCCTCGCAAGCGCAAGGTCCCAAGCTTGATCCCCAGTACCAAAAAAAAATAAAATAAAACACTTCTTTTTTTGTCGTTTTTTGGGACAGGGTCTTACCGTGTAGTTCAGGCTGGCCTCAAATTCCAGGAGATTATCCTGCCTCTGCCTCCCAAGTACTAGGATTACATGCATATGCCACCATAGCCAGGCACAAACACCTCTTGAGCTAACAAAATCCCTTTACCCATTTTCTATTTTGCCCGACCCTAGTTCAGCCCAGCTGTGGTAATAGATCTTTCTCAAGTGGGTTCTTTCATAGTTAAAGGCACTATTAACTACCCCAAGTACTGTTAATTCTAATAGCCATCCTTGAAGCAAACAGCGCTAACCATCCTATCACTGGTCATGATGCATAGGACAATCAGCAACAAGGTGGAGGTGGATGTCAGCTTTCATGTTTTTGCCAGCCAGGAAACCACACGGTTTTATTTCTGCCTTGTCATTGATTAGTTGATAGTACCAGGCAAGTTGCCTACTTTCTGTGCCTTAGTTTCCCTATCTCTAGAATCAGAGTGACAGGTCTCTCCTAGCTCACTGGGTTGCTTGGAGGAAAGAGATTAGTGATCAGTAGTATGTCCTTCCTTCTTCCAAATACACAAACCGCTGGGCCTCTCTGGGGAGAGTTGATGGCAGCAACGCCCATTCAACAGAATCCAGGGGCTCTAACAGAATGATGCACTTTCAAGGATGTGGATCCAGCCCAGAGCCTTCATTCTCAGGGGCACAGCCCCAACCTGTCCATAGGGTTGAGCTTGCAGATCCCAGCTTCTAGACCAAAGCAAGGGATGGGGTGAGGTCAGGCAGGCTCACTTCACTGTGCAGTTGTGCAGTGGCTGAGCTGTGACCATGTTCCTCATTCTTGATTCTGAGTTTGAAGAAAAGTGGAAAGGCAGAATCATAAGGCAGATGTTGGGATTCCCTTCAAGATGATGGAGGGCAGCTGCCCAGCCTTTGCTCACTGGTATGAATAAAAAAAGCTCTGCTGGGCTGGGGATTTAGCTCAGTGGTTTCGCCGCCTGCTGCGCAAGCGCAAGGACCCGAGTTCAATCCCTGGTACCAAAAAAAAAAAA